AAGTCCCTCCCGCTCCACATCTGGACACGTTAGCTGCACATTCATCAATATCTGGAAAGAGAAGAGACGTATCTGGTCCTCCACCAAGAGAGACATGATGGCCTTTAAAAGAAACACTGCATAGACTCTACCAGTCAGAAGTCTGGACACACCAGCGTGTGAAGCATTTCTCTCGGTTTCAACTGTGTTACTTTTAGTAAAAGGCTTCAGGGCAATTAAATACAAATCAAACATTACAGCGACCAAGAGAAATCAACATCTGAAAACTTTCTCAGATTTTTGACACTTCAAATCAGCTCCCTTTTGCTTTGAGGACAGTACTGCAGACTTTTGTTATTCTTTCAACCAGCATCCACATGTAGCCCCCTGGAATGCTTCTCCAAGAGTCCTGAAGGAATTTCCAAGCCGCCTACTTTGCTTTTACACTTTGATCCAACTCATCCCAAACCAGCTCTATATAGTTTAGGTGGCGGGTGGGGGGTGTCAGGGTCTGTACCGTCAACCCTGCCCTTCGCGTCTCCTCCCCGTTTAGCCAGCAGGTGGTGCTGGCTATCCTGTCCGCCTTCTTGTCACTTGCCCTTTAAGTCCCTAGTGTGTTTCCCCTTATCCCTGGACTGCCACATATCTCAGTGGCCTCAGCCTGTGGTTCAGAAACTGAGTACCTGCTGGTTATGGGTTTGAGACTGGCCTCATGTGTTTATTAGATTTTATTTGGGTTTCCGTTTCCCCCAGTTTATGTTCTGTTTGGTTCCCTTGGTCTTAGGTTTTCCCTGTGTGTATTTTTGTTCCAAGTTAAGTTTCCTAGTGTATGATTAGTGTTCTTGATCAGTGTTTTCTACGTCTCTTAGTTCTCTGTTTAATTAGTGTTTCTTTCTGTTTCTCTTTGTTCTTCTGCCTCAGTTGAGTGGTTAATTGATTATGTTTTACACCTGTTCCTTGTTTGCCCCAGTTTTCTATGTGTATTTAAGTGCCTGTCCTGCTCTGTTCTCTAGTCAGTCATTTAGGGTTGTGTTACTGTGTGCTGGAAGTTCTGTCCCCCTTGCCTGTCCTTGAGCCTTTTGGTTTTTGTTAGTGTGACCCTTAAATCCTATATTGTTGGCTGAGCACTCACACTGGGCTCATGCTCACAATCTGAAAAGAACTAACAGTTATGACCTAAATCATGCATTGAATTAGACCAAACGTGACCTCACTTTGCCTGACAGGGAGCTTGGGCATCAAATGAACTTGGATATAAAGGATTTCTGCGGGAATTTATAATAATTTTGCTAACATCAAATTCAAATAGCACCTCTGGATGAGAATGGGGGAATACTGTCTCGCTAGATAAGAGGGGTGAGTATGGAATGTAGAAATGAAGTTTGTGGAAGCATTTTGACTGGGTTTCATGATAAGTTACACAAGTTACTTCTTGTCTGCAGGCCAGATGATGACTCCTGGACCTGCTGAAAACATCTGCTGCCCCCCCTCCCCCAGTCACATAACTTTAATGTCCCCGCATCTTGTCCTTACCCTCACAGCTGGTATGGTTACTAGAGCTGAATCCTGGTTTGCACTTGCAGTAATAGGATCCTATTGTATTGAAACAGTCATAATTTTGACCACAGATGTCCGGCTCTTTGTCACACTCGTTAATATCTGCAAGAGAGACAGAATGATGCTTGTTGCCATGACAATTACAACTGTCTTGCCAAAATTACGTACAATCCAGTGATTACCCATACAGATATTTGATACCTCACCTTCGCACTGCCCTGTGATGGCAGTGAAGGTTTCGGATGTCGATTTAAAGCCAGTGTCACACTGGCAGTAGTAGCTGCCCACAGTATTGAAACATGTTGCATTATTGCCACAGTATGTTATGGGGTCTTTGCACTCGTCATCATCTGTTTGTGAGGAGAAATCGGACAGGAAGGCAGCTGAGACACTGGCTAACAGTTTGGTTTCAATTACACAAAGATGGAAATTGCTGATGTAAAAAGAACACTATACGTTACACACCTACACAGAGTTTTGTTTGACGATCTTTCACATGGCCTGTAGGACATCTGTTACAGGAAGATATCCTCAGCAAGCCAAAAATGACCCCTGACACAAGGAGAGAAGCGACTGTTAGTGTCAGTCCTGGTGGCTGACATCACCACTGCATTTGCGGAGTCTGTGCCAAAACTCATGCGTCTCCTAGGCATCAAAGATCATCCAAATGAAACATTACAGGCTATTTATAGCTCTGGGTTTTCATGAGAAAAGCGCTCCAACCTGCTGTGGTCGGTCGGTCGACATTTATGTGCAGAGGTGTCGAGCCGTGCAAGCAGACCAGTAGCCAGAAAAAAGATTGTGGGGTGTCAACCCTACCAAAAGGTTTTGGGGGGGGATTTCACACTGACTGATGGAGGTCCCCCTCTGTAGATTTCGCTAACCAGGAGGCTGAAGCATATCAAATTCTCAACTTTACTACTTAACTACGTGTTTGATATTGTACATCCATACTAGACAGTGGGCATTATGAATATTATGCACATATTTTTAATATACATACAGCAGGAGTGCAACAGAACCAGTGATAAGGAGAAGGTTTTCTTTGCATGGATGCCAGCATGCGTGAATGTTATTAAAGTCTCACATGTGCAGTCCCCCCCCCCCCCCCATGGGTGGGATAGCATTCAATTGTAGGGCACATTCAAGCACTCACATACACAATCGGAGATATCAAATGGCCTAAATGTAGGTCTTCGGAGATCATGAAGAAACCAGAGTATCAGAAATACACCAACACAAACAGGGAGAACATACAAACTTCACATACACAGAGCAGAGGTGGAGTTCAAAGCACCCAACCATGAAAATGTAAGGCAGTGCTACCCAATGAACCACCTGTATGCACACAACAGAGAAACAAACACTGGTCCTACAGCCCATCGTACAGGACCCTTAGCTCCAACATTGGGTCATCCATCTCTGTCCATTCATATATCAACCAACTGTATTAAGAAGCATTAGTTATTGCCATCCATCCATCCATTCTCAGAAACCGCTTGTCCTATTCAGGGTCACTGGGGGGTCCGGAGCCTATCCTGGAGACTACGGGCACAAGGCAGGGAACAACATAGGATGGGGCACCAACCCATCGCAGGGCACACACACACCATTCACTCACACATGCACACCTACAGCCAACTTGGTAAATTAGCCTCAGCATGTTTTTGGACTGAGAGGGGAAACTGTTACTGGAGAGAGGAAGTGAATCGGAGTGTGATGTAAAATGATCAGGGCACTCTAGAGCAAACTGCTGCCGGGTGAAGATTTCATAAGCATGTCCTGTTATCTTTGTGGTCATTTGGAAACAAACAGGGTGCAAAAAATGCTTTGTTTTTACAGGCAGTGTTTCAGGAATTTCAAGTAAATATCACATTCCGTCTAACACGGATTGTAAAATAATTATAATAATACATACTAATGTGATGTATTTAATACATGTGTGGCCATTATACCAACAGGAAATGAAATTCCATTTTAAATCCATTGGCATTAATATGTAGTTGCCCCCCCTTTGCAGCTGAAACAGCTGCCACTCTTCTGGGAAGGCTTTCAGTAAGATTATAGTGTGTCTGTGGGGATTTTTGCACATTCATACAGAAGAGCATCTGTGAGGTCAGACACCGATGTTACACATGTAGGCCTGGCTGCAGTCTCCATTCTAGTTCATCCAAAAGGTGTTCCACGGGGCTGAGGTCTTCCCCACCAAACTCACCTAACCCTTTATGGACCTTGCTTTGTGCAATGGGGCACAGTCATGCTGGAACTGAAATGGACCTTCCCCGAACTGTTCCCACAAAGATGGAAGCATAGAGTTGCCAAAATGTCTCGGTGCACTGAAGCATTAAGGGTTCCCTTCACTAGAACTAAGGGGTCTAGGCCAACCCCTGAAAAACAACAATTACAGTTTGGTTCCCAGGTTTTGGTTCCCGTTTCCGGCTTCACGGTATACCCCATCTAAGAACCCCCCCGCACGCCGCGCTCCGGAACCTCATACCCCAGTAATGGCGTCGGTTCCCATGGCTACCTGCCTTCTGCTGTGCCCCGTTGTACTGACGTAGGGGTCTGCTGTGTGGGTGACATGGTTCCGCAGCTGTGTCTAATCAGATCTATTTACGTGTGTATTTATATATATATATATTAGGGTGGTCCAAAATTAACAACTTCACACAGCTTTCCCTCCACAACCCTAATTTTATTCTTCCCCTTATTACAAATGTGTCTGCCAAATTTTATTATGATTGGTCATTATTTAGAGGTCGCTCAAGCTGGTAGTAATGCAACACTGCAACAGCTATATTGTATTGTGTAATTGTATGCAATAAAAC